GGTAATATCAAAATAATAATCTATAAAGAGAACACAAATTGACGAAGGTTAGAAAAATTCAAAAAAAAAAGAATTTCAAAATTTTGTAAAAAAATTTTTTTTTACATAATTTGAAATTCAAGGGACGTATATTGTGTGAAGAGGATTCGGTTCTTCTGATTTGAAAAAGGACTCGAAGGACTATATACTCTATATATTGCAAAGGAGATATGAGGTATGAGAGAAGACTGACATCAAGGAGTCAGGAAAGAGAGGAAAATGGTGGGAGGAAGAATAGGCCGAGAGTCGATATTATTACCATAAAATAATGAAAAGGGATCATGGTGCATTATGACTATATATATATATATATTGGTATATATATATATATAGAAAGAATGCATGCCTCTCGATAGCCTTTGCAATGACGTAGCAAAAGACCCTTTTTGCAAGGAGGATATGATACATATCCAGGACATTGGTGAGATATTAGAGCCATTCTTATAAATACCTTTCTTGAACGATATCATCGTATTATATTTACAATGAGAGGGACTCTTGTCATTTTTATAGGTTATGTAAAAATAACTGCTTTAGTAAAAATTCTATTAATTCAATTAGTGAAATTTGACTATTTTTTCAGTTATTGACTAATAATTACCCAATATTGCACGGAAATATTGAGGCAATATTGCTGCAACATTGATCATAATCAGTGGGAATATTGCCTAGTAATATTTAGGTAATATTGCCTAAAAATATTGAGTCAACATTGCTCTCAACAATATCAACTATCCAGATAGCACGTAAGCTTGCAGCAACCTTGTCGTCAGCTTGCCGCGCAATATTGCCAACCTTGCACAGCTAACTTGCTACAAGCTTACTGCAAGCTTTAAATGTCCCACCTGAGCCCAGCTTGCCTGGTAAGCTTACCGAAAGATTGCAGTGGAAGGTTACTGCGAGATTGCTCAGTAAGCTTGCCTGGTAAGCTTACCGAAAGATTGCAGTGTAAGGTTACTGCGAGATTGCTCAGTAAGCTTGCCTGGAAAGCTTACCGAAAGATTGCAGTGTAAGGTTACTGCGAGATTGCTCAGTAAGCTTGCCTGGTAAGCTTACCGAAAGATTGCAGTGTAAGGTTACTGCGAGATTGCTCAGTAAGCTTGCCTGGTAAGCTTACCGAAAGATTGCAGTGTAAGGTTACTGCGAGATTGCTCAGTAAGCTTGCACGGTAAGCTTGTAGCAAGGTTGGTGCAAGGTTGCCAAATATCCGAATGCCAGAAAGAAAATCTACCTATTTTGATAATTCTTTCATTTTTATTCTTAAAAGAACAAAAAGCTAAAAACACAGGGGATGAAAATTTATCGTCGAGTGTTTATACTGCCCGTTATTTTATTAAGGGGGGAGTGAGGGATGAAATATAATAAAATCAGAGTATTGCATTACACTTGAAGGTTATCAGACTCCCCTGTCTGTAGTCTGACTCGACTTGACACTTAAACTTATGTTTAGGAATCCCATTAAGTGTCAGATGGTATAGGAAGTTGAACTCAATGTCCGATGTCATACGGTTTCGAAATTCAAGGGTAATGCAACCAACTGGAAAGTATATACGTTTCTTTTACTGGAAAACATATTAGGTGAACTCAATTGAAGCTGAGTAAATCTATTGGAGAATATATATGTATAAAAGCAGCTGAACCAAAATACATATTTGTTCAATGTATAATATAGAATATATATATATATATATATATATATATATATATATATATATATATATATATATATCATCATATAATATATGGGATAAATTCACAAAGTAATCAATATTTCATTAAGTCTATAAACCACCAGGGTAAATTAAGCAACACTGAAATATTCAGTATATTACTATTTATATATACAAAATATAATTTTATTAAAAACTGATTCTAAAATGAAAGGTTATAATTTTCGTGATGTTGAAAATTATTTACAACATTTAGAGGTCTTGTTTATCGATGTTTTTAATTAATTTTACGAGAATTCATTTTGTGTGTGTGTGTGTGTGTATTCATATTTCCCGGGTACTAAAAGGGGGAATTCAATTTTCAGACATGTTTGGTTTGTGCCTTGTTTTCCCACACATTTTTTTCTTTTTTTTTTTAAAGAGAAAATTTTAGAAAACAACTTCTTGTTAGGTTTATATTTTACTGTCTCAATTTCACGGTACATATAGAGATAATTCGTGCATGTATGAGCACGTGCTTCGAACCACGCGACCTGTCGTGCTTCCATTGGAAACACTCACTTAAGAACTGTTGTTAGTTCACTGAATAAACAAATCTACTACATTTATTGCTTCTGACAGTTGAATGACTTATTCATGTCTGTTGAAGACGTATTCTTACATAAAGAAGAAATTTTGCAAACTCACATGAATCATATATATTATATATATATAAATTACATATATGATAATTTTACAGTAAAAGCGATAGAAATTATCAATACTATTGGAGACTTATATCAAAACGGAACGTATTTAAATATTTTAAGTCAAATATAATATTTTCAGACAAAGAAATAGAGAGGATAAAGCAAAATGTCAAGGAAAAATCCCAAAATATATATGTATAAAGATGCGAATAATAAAAATAGAGGACAAAATTTTTGAAAAATTGATGCGTTAGTCCTTGAGTGATGCTTCGTTTAATGGATCAATAAACAAGAGTATAGATTGAAGAGGGGAGTATAAGGTATGGAATAAGGAGCATTAGCTATCCCGAGGGATTGGCACGTGACTACGTGTCTGACCGTTTTCCTTCGTATATTTGAACTGGGCATTTCTTCCAATAGAACGAACGTGAGACTCCTTTTAACTTGGTCCTATACCAAAATCTTGCACAGATTTCGAAAGAGAGAGAGAGAGAGAGAAAGTGTGAACCTTCACACGAACATTCATCTCCGTTTCTATTGATATGTGACCCACGACCTTTGAGAAGTGTATTAACATGCCTCTCAACTGAGGAACAATAGCTTTTTTTTTCACTCAATCATAAATATATAGGACACATTGACATAAAATGCAATTTTTCTCTATATATTCTTGTAAATCTAATTTCATCTTTATTCGGATTATATTCTAGAGAAGAAAAATTCTCATCACAAAGCCTGTTATCAATGGGGTGATTGTAATGGACATTCATCATATTGTTGACAAAATGGTTGCATCTAACGGACGAGTGTACAGAAACTATAACTAAGCCATGAGTCATCCCTCGAAATTCCTAACAGCAGCCTTTAGTACCCTGAAGCTACGCACGCAATTACCATCCTTGATTTGATTAGATAGTCCTGATTCCCGTCGAACATCCCGAGATTCCAGATCGAACATTTCATACCCCTTTATATATAGAGAAATTCTGCAATCTATTGCGTATATATATATATATATATATATACCTACATCCCTCTTTCTCTAAAATAATTGCTCATTTCAATTGAAATCAATTTTGTAATGTTAAACAAGAATTTAATTAAAAGTAATCCCTATTCATTAATTTAAACAATGCAAATGGTTTATAAAAAAAAAAAGTCCAACTATTGGAAAACTTTTTAAAAATAAGTTTAGTGAATCAGTGGAAGTGAAAGTGAAAATGACCAACAATTTATCAATTTACATATATAGAGGTAAATTATTTTCTCCTCTAATAATTTATCGTTTTGCTGAGAGAAACAATAATTATTTAATAAGAAACATAAATTTAATAATCCTTCTGAAATTGCATGCTTGGAGAATATTATATTGAAATAGCAATTGCTTTGGCATTTATATATCTTCTATATATGTATATACAATTTCAACTATATCTACATATATATGTAACAAGACTGATCATGTACAGTATTCCTACTCATTATTACAGTTGTATCTGATAATTACATTAGAAGTCGTGCTCCCTCATTATGAAAATTACAAGCGTGTATTGTTGTGTCCACAACCCAATCTGATCCGAATAGTCTGTTATCATAATCTAAACTTCAATTTTCAATCCAGTGTGTAATCACAATATATATATTTTTTTAAAAAGCTATACAAAAGCGCCAATTTAGCTTAATTAATTAACGTACTTGTATTATTTATAAAGAAATAATAATTTATAACAAAATTTCAATACCCATTTTTCAATAATAGAAAACAATACAAAAAAAATTCATTGTTTAACAACCAACCAATTTGATTTAAACAAATTATTTTCTGAATCTAAATTTATACCAAAATTATTAATAATTAACAAAAAAAAATATATATATATATATATTTATATAAAATCTTTATTCAAATTAAATTTTTGATTTAATTAATATTTATTATGATATCCAAAGAACGAGATTGTATATATAATTTATGATTATAAATGTAAAAATAAAAGTAATGGCTAAATGATAATACAATTTAGATTAGAATTTAATCGAATTCTGAACAGTGAAATATATTAATCGCGTCGGCGGCGTTAGAGCGCGAACACGTAACAATCTCATATTTCTCCGATTTCGTTACGCTTGGTGATTTTAGAGACCCCTTCCTTCGATCGTTCATACATTGTCCATTACCCAAAATAGATTCAATCAAAGGAACATTTTCATACAACAATAGCTGCTATAAGGCCCTACCTCGTTTACTCTCCTTCTTATAATCATGACGAATCGGACATATGCACTCGTGTGAACACAAACACCCTATAAGCTTCAGGCACTACACGACTATTCCAACATTATTATAATCGCAGCATGAAATTTACGAATGGCAGTTAATATATGCTTTTTCAACGCTGACAGAAAAGGTCTACAAAATAATGATCTCTGCAGCTACAATGTGTTTATGAACTTGAATATAATATCATTCTTGATATTATTTTTTTTTCAACCTCTATGCCTTTCAATAAACACTCATTTAAATAATAAGCAAAAAAAATTTTTTACGAGTAATTTTGTTCTGTAATAATGATCAATTATTAATGTAAAAAAAAAAACTCACCAGTGCACGCCATTCGTGAATCTTTCGTTGAAAACCTGCAAAAAAAAAAGATAAAAATTATTTTTTATATATATATATATATATATATATATATAACTACATATATAGAAACGAATCTAAACTTTTTATAAATTTGGATGAAAAACAAGTTTCAAGAGTTTTAGTGATGTGAGTGAGTTGATTAAAAGCTAAAGCAGGACTAGGAACTGCTTTCTCTCTCTCTCTCTCTCTCTCTCTCTCTCTCTCTCCTTCTCTCTTTTTCTATCTCTTTCTCTCAATGGTAATTCTACAAAATGAAATTACACATAATCTGGTTTGAAAATATATTTTCAGTGACAGGACTTTCGTTTCGGAATGTCCATTAGGACTTCCTCCTGATTATCCTTACTTTTCGCGCTTTATCTGTCACAAATCTCATTTTCAAAATCCACAGAGACGCGATCCTAATGAATCTCATTTCACTTTAAACTTGTGACTCAAAACATCGTAGTAAATGGACTTTTTTTACAAAAACATAAAATTTAGAAATAAATATCGTTTGAAAAAAAACAGTAAATTGGATTTACTTTTAAAAATTTTTAATTTTCAACAAAGTATATATTAACCGAAGGATAAACAACTTGTGAAACATATGGTGTACAATAGTTAAATTATTCGGAAATATCTTGAAGTATCGTAAATATATCCTGAAATATTCTGAATTTTTTGAATTATTCCGAATTATCTGTAATAAAGTGAATCATCCTGAAGTATCGTAAACTATCCCCAAGTACCTTAAAATATTCTAAATTATCTTGAAGTACATTAAGTATTTTGATAATTATCCAAAATAACATAAATTATACGAAATATTGTGAATTATCTAAAGTATCGTGAAATATCTTGAAGCATCTTGAAGTACTGTCAATTATCTAAAAATATTATGTAATATCCTCAATTATCTAAAGCAACATGAATCGTCTGAAATATCCTAAATTACATTGAATTAGCTTGATAAATTTTGAAATATCACAAAATTTGAATCATCCTGAATTATATGAAGGAACCTGAATTATCTAAAGTAATCTGAAATATCGTAAATTATCTGGAAATAAGCTAAAAGTATTGTGAATTATTTTGAAATATTCTGACTCCATCTTGTAGTCTTTGAAATATTTTGAATTTTATCTGTAATATCCTTAATTATCTGAAGTATCGTGAAATATCCCATAAAATATCTTGATACACTGTGAATTATTTTGAAATATTCTGACTCCATCTTGTAGTCTTTGAAATATTTTGAATTTTATCTGTAATATCCTTAATTATCTGAAGTATCGTGAAATATCCCATAAAATATCTTGATACACTGTGAATTATTTTGAAATATTTTTGAATATCCTTAATTATCCTGCAGTATTCGAAGTATTTTGAATTGAACCCGAGTCGAAATTTAGACTCTCTATAAGTTCTCTAAAAACCTCCTTTTATCCTCCTTTTATTCTCTCCAACACTTTCATACCGCTCTTTTCGACCTCGAATTTGCAAAAGTGGAAATATCTGCAATATTGGAGGCTGAAAGGAGGGTTTAAAGATGACTAGAAAGGCGTAAAAGAGGTTAAAAAAAATAAAATTAAGAAAATGTAAAAATTGGATTTTTTTTCTTATGGACATTACACCGAAAAAAAAATCCTCTTGTTTCAAGAGGATTCCTCTTATTTCAATGCATATTTTCCTCTAGTATATGCTGCAAAAGGATGTCCTCTAGGTTTAAGAGGATTGTCCTCTATGTAAAATTATGCCTCTTAATTTAAGAGGATACTCTTATTTTAAAAGGAAAATATCATCTTAAAAAGAACTCTGAAATAATAAAAATGCAATCATCTAATTTTTATGTCATAGATATAATCTATAAAATTAAAAGGAATAAAATTTGTTATTCCATGATTTACAACTATTTGAGTATAAATAAATTGAAATTGATTTTAATTTTTTTGAATAAATCAACTAAATCTATTTTTAATAATATTTTTATGCGCAAAACATATAATTCATTAAATTTGAAAATTTATTTTAAATAAATTTTAAATAAAATTAAGATAAATAAAAATCGTAATAAAATAAAATTTTAAATAGCATAACCTCAAAATTATTTAAATTTTTTTAAAAATTACTTTTAAAAATTCCTTTTACCTTCAAAAATAGGCATGTATTGGGTATGTTGCAACTCTATCAAGATATTTAAAAGATTATTATTATCCATTTTGTTTAATTCCCCTTTTTTTACACAGAAACTAAAACTTTTTTACGCATGATATGCGATTTATGACGCAATCATCTTTGCGCATGAGCGAATTTCTATGGGAAATCCTCTAAGAATTTAGAGGAATATTCTTAAACATAGAAGATTATTCTAAATTCTAAGAGTATTATCTTTATTCTAAAAAGATTATTCTGAATATAAGATGAATGCCCTAGAATAGTCCTTTTGTTTCGATCCTCTTGAAATTAGAGGAAAATATTCTTATTTAAAGAGTAATACTCTTGTTTTAAGAATAAAATTCAAGAGGATTCTGTAAGAGGAATTTTCCTCTGAATACAAGAATATTTTTTTTTCGGTGTATTTATTGACCATATTGAAGATATATTTATTGGTCTTTGTCCTAATACTATAAAATTTTTAGGAGGAATAAAACTTCGAAAAATTCAAATTAAGAAAAAATTCCAAGACCTCTTTTCAACCTCTAAACATGCAGATTTGGAAATAAGCGCATGATTTCACTCTCTAAATCTGAATCAGTAGAAATTTTACTAATTCAATCAGTACTTTTCATTTTAACTGAAGTTTCAGTTATTTTTTGAAATTTACTAATATAATTAGTGAATATGCAAGCAATAGAAAATAACTTATGTAAATCAGTAATTTGTATATAACATAACCTTTAAAATTAACTATTAAATCAGTAGATTTTATTGCCGCCGCCATATATTTATATTACTGATTCAATCAGTAATTGATATTTTACTAATTGAATCAGTAAATTTCTACTAATTGTCAGTTGCTCAATTCTCGCTATGCCGCAATTAGTAGATTTCTACTGCTAATCAGTAAAATATGACTGATTCAGATTTAGAGAGCAGGCTGAAAAGAGGCTGAGAAAATCGAGGGTGAAAAGAGGGAAAAATTTCGACTCGGGAAATATCTTAAATTATCTGAAGTAACATATAAATTTTATCTGAAATATCATGAAACATTCTAAAATATCTTCAAATATTGTGAATTATCCTGAAATATTTTGGAATATTCCAGGCTTTTTCCAGATATTCCTTATACAATTATTATAAAATTCCAATAACACTTTTTCCAAGGATTTTCCAGGAATTCCATACTTTGTGCGACAGGGATTGAGGGATTTTCGTGTTATTTTTCAACGTCCCTGCGGCAAGTACAAGTGTATGTATATATATATATATAGGAAAGAGGCAAAGCCGCGAACTCCCTCGGTATCACACGACACATTTATGGTCTCACATTAACTGCTTTATGTAATATCCGAGTAGTGTGTGCGCGCATCTCTGAAATGTTGTAACACGTACAGCAGTAGTCTCGGTTACCACAGCGGTGTACAAAACAATCTCGTAATATTTCTCTCTATACAAGGGTGGCATTTAATGGCACCCACGCGAAGGGTGTCATTGTTCTCCTTGGGGTGTAACGAGCAGGACGAGTCACATTCGTACCTCTCATGACCGAGAATCATCTAACATGCATATACATATGTGTATAGCAAAGAACGTGTATGTGTGTGTGTGTGTGTGTGTAATTTGAGAAACTGATGCATGGCGTGAATAACGCAGATGCTCTGGCCATTTGTTCGTTCAGTTACTCGCGCAAAGTCACGAGAGGGGTCTTTCATAATTGCAACTTGCATTTTGGCTCTCGTTCATATTATCGAAAGTAAATCGAACTCCTATAAGGCCACAGGGAAAGTCTAATAGAAGTCGCGTTCATGAGTTACTGCCTTTAATTTTCCGATAATAGGGACTTCGCGACCCTTCGTCGTTCGAGCCGCGGACTTCCACAACCAATTTTCCTCTCTCTATCTTTGTATATACATATATATATATATATATATAACTCGTGTTATATGTGTGTGTGTGTGTGTGCGCCATTCTGGAATTGTTCGCTGATAGTTTCCCCGGGGACAGTCGAGCGAGGTAGTTAACTTCCCTGCCCATTCATTCCTTCATACAACTATTTTATTAGCAACCCCGCGACGACGATCCACTCGCGTTTATCAACCCAGCAGGTTATATTCTCTGTTTAACGTTCGACATTTTCTATTAAACACCTCCATCGTTATAACAAATGACTCTCAATATAATCTCTTTCTTATTTATTAACTCCAACTTTTTCTTTTACCAAAATTGCACAACATATGTTGCAATATTGACTCAATATTGCCTGAATATTGCAGAGCAATGTTGGCTCAATATTCTTAAGCATTGATTTCGGTAAGCTTACCAGGCAAGCTGGGCTCAGGTGGGACATTTAAAGCTTGCAGAAAGCTTGTGGCAAGTTAGCCGTGCAAGATTGGCAATATTGCGCGGCAAGTTGACGGCAAGGTTGCTGCAAGCTTACGTGCTATCTGGATAGTTGATATTGTTAAGAGCAATGTTGGCTCAATATTTTTAAGCATTGCCTAAATAATGATGCAATATTTTAGCAACATATATTGTGCTATTTGGGTATATTTAATTCTTTTTTAGTCATTCATTTTGAAACTTCGTTAATAAAAAATGAGAATATAATAATTAGACAAATTAAATGCAAAAGTAAATAATATTTTGTGTTTGATAATGAATATATGCATATATATGTACTTTGTACCTCTGATGAATTTTCGGCAGACATATATATATATATATATATATATATACATATATATCTGCAAGGGAAAATTGTCTGGCACTATTTGCGCGACTTTAGATTTTCTCTTCACGCAACGTTGCACGTCTTTTTCATTTCGACGAAACGTATATATATATCATATAG